TATAAAATAATAAACCATTTAGTTAAAATGTAAATTTTCTTCTAAAGAAGTAACCAATCCCATTGAGTAATGTTATCATCATGATGATAAATTATTCATTATCTCTTTCATTTCTCTCTCCTCCCCCATTTTTAATAAACATTGAACTGTCAAATTCCATTATTCTACATAAACCGTCACATCACCGATGATTTATCATTATGATGATAAATAACATTGTTCAACCTCATTACCGTTCACGAGTGGCTTGAATGGTTTTGATCTTCGATTGGACCTCCATTGACACATGGGCACAAAAATCAGATATGAAGTATATTTAATCAAAAATCAGATGACAATTTAATAGTAATAATTATATTATAAATTAATACATATAACCACGTCCTCCAACTCAATTAAACTCTCAAATCCCAATTCATTTCTATACCTACTCTCTCTCTCCGACCAGTGACATAGCACCTCGGGCTAGTAACACAGTAGTGACGCGCCACAATCTCTCTGGCCCTCACGACGCAGCACCACTCCGCACAGTTCTGCGACAACGTGGTGCGCTGTGCACCAATTGACCATCAGAGGTGCTTTATAAATTCTTTGCACAATCATAGGAACTTGGGCTTCCCCTGGTAATATATTCCTTTAGTCTGACATGGGGATGGGGAGTGAGGATATAAATAAAATTGGTAGAGACTGTAGTCAAACAGAGGCAGCATCACACTGTAGTAATTTGAATGCTTTGTCCAATAAAAATACCAAAATTGTCTAGCCATCGCTCAAGTCCCGACTTGGGAGAAGATCAACGACGATGACGAATTGGGAGAAGATCAGGTTATGTCTTCGTTCATTGCCGCTGCAGTAGTGGTAATGCCATCGTAGTATTTTGGATCTGGTTTTTGCGGTACAACCACAATGTTGTTTGGATCTGGTGGTGCATGATGGGTTGGTTGATTTGTTTGGTGCTATGGGGGGTGTTTGTGATCAACTATTTAATTGTGACCTAAAAATTCGATAATTTGTGATCGACAATTAAACTATGCTGTATAAATTTTTTTGATTTGTAACCATTGAAATAAATTTTTGATTTGTGATCATGAAATAATCTGTGGCCAATAAATAAGTTGTGACTTATAAGTACACCCGTAACTATTAAATGTATAATTGCGACCTTAATATATTTAATTAATTATTTATCACATGAGTTTTGGATTTAGTAAATACCTGAGTTGTGAATTATTTCCTTCTTATTACTGTAGGTTCTACTTTACCAGTCAAGTCACAATGAAATCAAAATAATGCAAAGGTAGAGTCTACTTTACCAATCAAGTCACAATGAAATCAAAATAATGCAAACGAAGAGATTGGACACAATCCTGATATTTTGTAAAGATTCTTGTTATAAATTTATTGTCAGGTAGAGCAAAATTTATCAAAATGCAGTAAAATATCAAAATGTAGACATGATTGGGCACTATCTAGAATCCTTGATCTCGATCCGTATCCAAAAAAAGGGCTTTAATCAATTGAATTTTGAATTCTGAAAGTCAAGCAGATAATACTAAATAAAAAAAAGTCATAATAAGTTCAAAATTCAATTCCATTTAATGCAAAAACTCGAGTTCAAATAAGAGTAAATTATCACGATTCATAGTTCAAATTCAAACAAGCGATCAACTATATCGCTTGTGCTAAGGGTCCCCTTAATCTTGTGTAGTCAATTGCAAATTTGTTGAAAATGCAGTAAAATATCAAAATGTAGACGTAGTCGAGCACTATCTAGAATCCTTGATATCGATCCATATCCACGAAAAGTCATTAATTTATTGAATTTTAAAATCAGAAAGTCAAGTAGATAATACTAGAATAAAAAATCCACAATAAGTAGCAAAATCCAATTCCATTTAATGCAAAAACTCAAGTTAAATTCAAAGTAAATTACCACAATTTAGAGTTCAAATTCTGACAATCGAGCAATTAAACAGGGTAAAGATTTAACCTTGGTTCGATTTTTTGCCCCAAATGGCTCTCAAACATCCCACGCCTCTTATTAGGAGTGTCAATTTCGCTCGTCGGCTCAGGGTAACCCGAGCTCGGCCCAGGAAAAGTCCGAGTCGGCCCGGAATGAGCCCCATTTTAAAGCGTTGGCCCGAGCCAAGGCTGGCTCGTGTCACAGGCTATTTTCGGCCTGTGACGAGCCGATCCTTAAAAATAAAATTAAAAAATAAAATTTAGGCACCAGCTAGTTGCCTAATATTTATATAAAAAAAATCGTGAGTTGCCTCAGCTCAACAAGGCCCAAGCCAAAGGCTCGGGTAGAGTCTAAATTTTTTGGCCGAGCAAAAACTTGACTTGGCTTGAGACTCAAGTTTCGGCTCGACTCGTTGACATCCCTACTTCTGATTTCTATAAATTCAAGAAATTCCTTACTGGAAAGATTAACCTATCCACATTATTGCTATTGTTGCATCATTCATTTCTAGATTGTATGTGCTGACCAAAGTGTATTATTTTGCTTAACAACATTTCTTATTTGAACTTAGTTCTTTTGGTTTACTAGGTTTGCAGAGACAAATACAATCATTTCTACGATGGAGCGTAATAAAGACGAGGCTATTAGGTGTAAAGGTCTCGTCGAGGAGAAATGGACTGTAATAAAGATCTTCACAATTAATAGCCCTTCTTTATTACACTCCATCGTAGAAATGATCGTATTTATCTCTGCAAACATAGTACACTGGTGGAACTAAGTTCATATAAGAAATGTACTTGAGCAAAATAATACAAATGTGATTAGCAATAGCAAAATAAGGAGCCATTCGAGGCCAAAAACCTGAACCATGGTTAAATCTTTATCATGTTTCTCAAGATATAAGGGACTTTTCCGAGCATAGTGAACCACCCGAACCATGCAGAGTGAATCTTTTTTCATCAGACTAGTCAAATGGACAGAGACTTTTCACTCGTCTCAATCAAGATGAGCTACAAGACTTCCTTCATTTCATGAAACACATCGTCCGATTCTCAATCTAGAACAAATCCAACCCCTTTTGATATAGAAACTAAACCGTTGTTAGGTGCCTAGCCTGGTATGCTTGCAATAGTAAAACTGGCAAGGACCATCTAGTTCTTTGAGATTATCTTTTCAAGAGGCATTTGTTCTTGGATGATGAACAAAACTTTCGAAGCCCAAGGAAAAATCCAGTCCCTTAGGTGGGCAGGAACCTGACCCGGAAGCTCCCCTTCCCAGTTCTTCTATAAAAGGACCCTTACCCCTCAAGTGATATAGTTGCTAGATTGTCTGAATTTGAAATCTGGATTGTGGTAATTTATTCTAGATTTATCTTGAGTTTTTTTGCATTAATTGTGGCTTTTTACTTCTAGTCTTATCTGTTTGACTTTCTGGTTTCAAAATTCAATAAACTAAAGCATTTTTCGTGGCTACAAATGAGTTTAAGAATTCTAGATAGTGCTCGACCACGTCTACATTTTGATATTTTATTGTATTTTCATTAAATTTGCAATCGATTACACAAGTCATTGCTAGATTTCTTGATAAATTTAAAGCAACTACAATATACCATGTCAATTTTGGCTACTATTTCTATACTACAACTGTCGTATAATTTTAAAAATCTCAAATTCTCTTTGCCCCGCATGATTAATAAAAGGGATAATTGCATTGGATGTTTCAAACCTTTAAAAATGTGCAGATTGTGCTCAAGCCTTTAAATCGTAGTAGGAGAGGTCCGCAAACCTTTCAAAATTGTGTGGCCGAAGAACCTCTAGACAATTTTTATCTAGATGCACGTTATTTGACTAAAGTCAACGTTTGATCATAATTTGATCAATTTTAAAGGATAAAATGGTCTTTTAACCTTTAAAGGAAAATTTGTATGTCCCAAACCTTTTAAAAATGGGCAGTGGAGGTCCTAAACTTTTAATAAATGTGCGTTGAAAGGACGTCTAATGTTTTTATCCAAAAAATTGTTAATTCACAAAAATATTTATGTTTCCCGATCCACAAAACCACCCAACCCCAACCCCTAACCAATCCAACCCCACCTATTGGTAGGTACGAGAGCCTCCGCCACTTTCATTATCGTTGGTTTTGAAGAGAATATATATGTATTTTATTTATTTCTTCTTAGCTATTTAAATGTTCTTGTTAGAATGAAATTGGTTTAGATGAATGAAAAAATGGGTTGGCAGAAGTAGAGGTTGAGGTTGACCAAACTACATTCATCTTTCCCAATCCACCCC